ATCCTCTCAGGCCAGGGGTCAACAATGTATGAGTTAATGGTTTGATCAGAATCGCCGTTATAATCATTGGCCAGTAAGGAGAATTAAGTAAAAGCACAAGTCCAAATCCCTATCTCCATTCATGGCTAATTTAGGAAATGGCCCATTTTAGCTAGCTAGCCACCGGAGGACAACAACACAACGAGATGCAACAATTCAAGTTGTTTGTGTCAATGACATATTTATCTTAATGCGATGTGATAGGAGAGAAGCCAAATCCAAACTGGCTTCCCTTTACACTTTTTTTTGGTGTGCCAGGACCATTCACAGTTGAGCTCACTCAGTTTAGCTCAACGCTGATTGGTTATTGTTTTATACTTTTTTTATCAAATGAAGGCCAAATGCTCACTGGTTTCCCTTGCATTCAAGGCTACGGGTGGCAACAACGTCATACTCTTTTTGGCCAGACAGCATCAGATAGATGGCCTACTCATGCAGAGACAGAGGGGCGCTGTTTCGCTCGCTCTGACGCTTTCTCCGGTGAGATACATTCAGCCTCTTGCGAATTGAAGGAAAATTATGAAAGATAAATTATTTATATGTTTTTTTCTTGGTCCATTTATTGGGGAAGCCTGGCTTCCCTTGGCATCCATAAATACACGCCACTGCCTTGACCCAGGGTTTAATATGTTCACTGAAGCTTTAACCTTGAACCAGGGTTTAACATGATCACTGGGTGGTTTCCTTTGATGGTTAGCAATCACACATACAGTATGTTCCTGCCACATGGTTGAGAGGACCTGAGAGTCATGGGTTGCGTCTGAAATTTTACCCTATTCCTTATATAGTGCACTACATTTGACCAGGGCCCATAGGGCAATAGGGTACCATTTGGGACTGATGGCCTGATGACAAATACATTACAAACGCATGAGAAATGTGTAATGTTTTTTTTGTTTTTACCCCTTTTTGTAGTTACAGTCTTGTCCCATCGCTGTAACTCTCCTATGGACTCGGGAGAGGCGAAGGTCGAGAGCCATGCGTCCTCCAAAACACGACCCCTGCCAAGCCACACTGCTTCTTGACACACTGCTCGCTTAACCCGAAAGCCAGCCGCACCAATGTGTCGGAGGAAACACCGTCCAGCTGGCGACCGAAGTCAGCTTGCAGGCACCCGGCCCGCCACAAGGAGTCCCTAGAGCGCGATGGGAAAAGGAAATCCCAGCCGGCCAAACCCTCTCCTAACCCAGACGACGCTGGTCCAATTGTGAGTTGCCTCATGGGTCTCCAGGTCACAGCCAGCTGTGACACAGCCTGGGATCGAACCCGGGTCTGTAGTGACGCCTCACCACTCAGGAGGCCAAGAAATATGTATTGTTGTGACAACAGGAATTATCAGTGATGATGACAGGGTATGTGTCAACATGAAAAAAATGTTTTACATGAAAGTTGTCTTAAAGTTTACATAATAATATTATAATCCATTCTAGGGCTCTAACGCACGTACACAGATACACACACACGAACACACACCCCAGTGACTTCATGTCCCAAATGTGGCCCACCTGGCTCTGATCCCTCTCCCCCAGCCAGCTCTCTGCTGGGCGGCCAGACAGACTGGTGGTGTTACAGTCAGTGTCTGGACATGATCTCTAAATGGCTTTTCTGTGGGCAGAGACAGAGAGACGGAAATTCAACATTAGTACTCATTGACTCATTCTCTTTGAACCACCGTTTGACTATTTCAGGCCCTTAGGCGTAGAGTCAAACCAAGGTACAGTCTCATCAACATGGAAAGACACGTCCCAGATTCAAAGACAACCACATAGCCCAGAGGTTATTCAAATCTCAAACCCAGTTGTCGAGGTACACAGTTAGAACAACTAGTTATAGCCTTCTGCCAAGACTGTAATTGGTGGAATGAGGTGAGTGATTGACTGGCGGTAACAGAAGTTCCCCAACAGGCCCTCTGCAGATAAGATTTACCACCACTGGGGTAAGATTGATTTCAACCTGAGCAAGGGCTTCAGGAATGAGGCTACACTACTGTCTAGTGGCCGTTGTAAGCAACTACAAGACCATCACGCCAGCATGATTATGATGAACATAATGTGCTGAACAAGTTAAAGTAAGCTAGAACATGATATTTTTGATTCGAACGGTAATTCATCATACTTGCAAAATATAAATAATAGTGTTAAGCTAATATTCATATTATCAATAACGGTCATATTCATGATTAAACTGATTTGGAAGACTCGTGTAGAAATTTTTATTTTACAATAAGAAAATTATAAAATAAAATAAAATCCTATATCGTATCATCTGTATCCCTTATTATCGCAGCAAATGCGATAAATTATGCAAATAGTAAATGGATAGGCTGACGACTGAGAAGGGTGCAATTGCGGCCCGCAATTCTGGGCGTTCCTTCATGTGGGCATTCCTGCATCTGCAGGAACCCCTCTTTATACTTCTATGGTCAATTCTTAAGGTAGGACATGCAGGAAGCGGCGGCGCTCCAGTACAGTAGGTGGCGGTAATGCACAATAACGTTTGATGTCAACCACCGACAAACCACACAGAAGAAGGGCTGGGGGTGACAACGGTAGCTAGCTAGCCGTACACCGGTAGACAATTCCTTCGCCCCCGCCTGTTGGGCAATGTTTACCCGGGGTTCGGCAGGCGTGAGCGTAGGACACTGTGTGCTCACTAGCTAGTAAGGAGGACTCCGGTACACAGCAGTCGGGGGCGACACTGTGTGCTAGCTAACTAGCAAGCTAGCTAGCACACGGCCTGGGGCGACACCGGTATAGACACTGTCCTTCGCCCCGGCAATGTTTTCCCGCAGTTCTGTTAACGGTGAGAGCAGGTGTTGGGCAAGCAGGAGCAAAGGACACTGTTTACCGGTGTTGCCCCCCACCTACAGTACACAGCAGGCGGGAGAGAAAAACTCAGATAATACTTTTATTTCCCTTTTGACCCACATTCAAAAGTGTCACACAAGCATGAAGATATCTTGCTTGAGGAAGGGGAGGGGGGCATTCATGCAGGAACGAATGGGATGCTCGAGGCAGGGGTGTTCATGAAGAAACCAATGGGATGCTCGAGGGCGGGTGGGTTCCTGCAGGAATGCCTACATGCAGGAACGCCCCAAATTGTGGGCCGCAATAACACACTATTGCGATGACCTACCAAAACGAAAACAAAAGTAGTTCTTTGTTCGGAAGGAATCTGGAGAGGGTAGGAGTTTTTAGGTTCCTTGGGGTCTGGTTTGACACTCGAATGACATGGGCGGAGCATATTAACAGAGAAGCTTCAAAGGAAATAAAATATTGAATGTGATGCGTTGCCTGTCAGGAATAGAGTGGGGGGCAGATAGAATGGCATTGAAAATTATATATACAGTGTTGTCAAGGTCATCACCGGATTATGGAAGTGTAGCATATGGATCAGCATCTCAGACATCTTTTTTAAAACGCTAGATGTAATCCAGGCCCAAGCCCTAAGAATATGTTGTGGAGCACTCAGGACCTCCCCGATGGCAGCGCTGCATGTAGAGTTGGGAGAGATGCCGTTAAAGTTAAGAAAACAACAGCTAACCATGACATATTGGGTAAATCTTCATGGACATCAGGTCACACATCCTACAAAAAAAGGTGCTCCTAGAGTGCTGGGAGCATGAGCGAAATCTGAAAACAAGTTTTGGGTGGATAGGTAGAGATGGGGTTGTTTGGGAGGGAGTTTAGCCCCTCTGTGGTTCTTCCAGCTATCCCACCTTGGTTTCTCCCTCAGCCAGTGATAGATCTAGGGTTGCTTGAGAGGGTAAGAGCTGTTGAGGAAGGAGTAGATTCAGTTGTAAGTGAACATTTAAGAACACAGTCCTATGCTTTCTTGAATATATTCACTAAGGACCCTAAAACAGGGAGGACAGGTGCAGCTTTTAGTGTTCCTGAGTTTAAGGTGGCAGTGACAAACAGGGCAACGGATCATTTATCTGTTTACACAATGGAGTTGTTGGCCATACTATTGGCTGCAGAGTGGGTGGAGGAGGTGTGGCCAGACAGGGAAATCATCTGCTCTGACTCCTGTGCAGCACTAATGAGCTTAAATTCATGTGTGTCTTGGCGCATACAAGATGTATTGTATGAGGTTTTGCAGTGCTTGTATAGGGTGAGACAGATGGGGGTATTTGAGTTGTTCCTCGGGGTACCAGCTCATGTGGGAGTAGAGGGGAATGAGGAGGTGGATGTTCTCGCCAAGCAGGCTCTTAAACATCCTAACATTGAAATGGAATTGTCAAATCAGTAAAGCAGAAGCCAAGGGGTTAATTAAAACAGTGGTTAAAAACGTAAAAACAAATGTCAAGAGTTGTGGAACAGGGAGAGTAAGGGAAGACACCTGTATAAGATCCAGGAAAAGGTGGGGGCAGGGAGGTCCTCAGGCCGAGAGAGAAGGAGGAAAGTGTAGTCACAAGGCTGAGACTGGGACACACAAGGCTCAACAGGACATTGAAATTGGTAGGAAACATCCGACTGGGTGGTGTGATCATTGTCAGGAGGAGATGGAGACAGTGGAGGCGGCAGGTAGCTTAGTGGTTAAGAGCGTTATGCCAGTAACCGAAAGGTCGCTGGTTCTAATCCCTGAGCCGACTAGGTGAAAAATCTGTTGATGTGCCCTTGAGCAAGGCACTTAACCCTAGTTGCTCTGGATAAGAGCGTCTGCTAAATGACTTTAAATGGAACACGTTCTATTTCAGTGCTAGCAATATGGGAGGGAAAGATGGTTGTTAGATTTAAGGAGTAATGGGGTTGAAGAGCCAATATTAAGTGAACTGCTGGGGAAATCTTCAGGGGATGTAGTATTTAATGATGTATTTCACTTCCTTAGGGAGACGAAAACAATGGGTAGGATTCAGACCTTCCCTGTCTCTGGTTAACACTCCAGTCCAGTTGGTGGCGGTAATGCACCTTAAAATATCCAATGCAGAAGAAGAAGAAAAAAAACGAAAGTAGTTATTTCTCCAGACAACCAACGCCCCAGGAGAAATGTATATTGTTTGGTAAATTAAGTCTATTCTATTGGAAATCTTTTTTTTTTTTTTGGGGGGGGGGGGGGGGGGTGGCATAGGCTACTTGTTTCTTAAATCGTTTGTAACGTGTGTGATGAATGAATGTTGTTTTAATTGACGGCAATAGCCTATGAAAGATACTTTTTTTTATATATATATGGGTGTATTCATTAGTGCACACCGTAGCAAACCACAGCAAAACGTTTTGCAACAAAGACGTGAGTTTCTTAGTAGGCTACTATTTTAGAGGAGGCTAAATCGTTTTAAACATAACATAACAATAATCCACATATTTTTTTAGACATAACAATAATCCATATCTTAAAATGCTTTCAATTTCACAGATGTTGAATCCTTAGGCACAGCATGGGTTGGAAACTCCTCTACAGTCTCTTTACATTGATGGTTGGCCTTCTTGGTACGTTTTTCCTAAATTAATCATTTTAGATACAGTATGTTATTTTTTGTGTAAACTGGCCTCTTGATCAACATCATTGGGTGTGTTCACTGTATTAGCCTAATATCAAATATGTTGATGATTTAGTTTGGCTACAAATATGTAAACCTGATAATCCTTGTATATCTTTGCTTCCCGACAGTTTCCACTGAATGCCCCTCGATCAGTAATGGTATCATTCTTAAAACTGTGAATTTGAAGAACACTGTCAATCTCCCTTGCAATGCAACCTGTGACATTGGCATCGTTTGGAAGATTTTGGATGGTCAGGTCGTTGCCAAGATTGATCAAGGAAAATTAATTCAAGGAAACACCTTTGAGAAGAGGGTGAAAATCAACAACGACCTCTCTCTCACAATCATCTCTGCTGTGTACAATGACAAGGGTTTATATGAGTGTATCTGTCATACGCGTACTGTTGCAGATGTACACCTAGATGTTCTGGGTAAGTTGAAGAGACTTGACGAAACTTTACAAATTGAATGTTGACTGGGAACAAGAACTATGACTACTTTACTCAGGGATAGATTTGAAGAGTTTATTTCCAAAACGCTATACCCAACAGTTTTTTCATAAGAAATTAATGGTTATGGGTACCTTCATGTGTGTGTAAAATATTACTGTTCTCAGATTTTTTTATCCATAGATGTGTATGAAAATGTTATTTTTGCAAAATGCTATATATCCATTGTTTAGCTGGAATGGAATGATATGTGATTGTCTCACCTACACCTAGGTATCTTAAAGGGACACTTTGGGATTTTGGCATTGATGTCTCTGTGTCCAGTATGAAGGAAGTTAGAGGTAGTTCTGCGAGCCAATGCAAACGCTATATATCCGCCTCTCAGAGAAATAAGTAGTTCTACTATGTTTTACAGTCAAATGTAACAAAGAACTACATTTTTTTAAACAAAAAAATTACAAATTCATTAATTTGTGACATCAGTATTTAAAAATAATAACAATACAGTAATATGAGATCTGTACGTAAAACATTTACATGTAACATTTTAGTGATTTAGCAGATACTCTTATCCAGAGCAACTTACAGTAAGTGCATTCATCTTAAAGGGATACTTCGGGATTTTGGCAATGAGTCAGATTAATTTATGTCTCTGTGTGCAGTTTGAAGGAAGTTGCTAACTAGCGCTAGCGCAAACTAGTGTTAGCACAATGACTGCTAGCAGATACCCATAGACTTCCAGTCAATGCTCTAATGCTAGTTTGCGCCAGCGCTAGTTAGCAACTTCCTTCAAACTGCACGCAGAGACATAAAAATGGTATCCACGAGTTCATCTGACTCATTGCCAAAATCCCGAAGTATCCCCGCCCTTACTGTAAGTTGCTCTGGATAAGAGCATCTGCTAAATGACTAAAATGTTCAATGTAAATGTTTTACGTACAGATCTCATATTACATTATTGAATTGCCACAAATTCATTTATTTGTAATTTTTTTTATAAAAAATGTCGTGTTTTGTTAAATTTGACTGTAAAACAAAGTAGTACTACTTATTTCTCTGAGAGGCGGATATATAGCGTTTTGCAAAAAAACATGATTATTTGTCTCTGAAGTGAAACCATCCAGTGATATATTTTAAACAAATACATGTGTGTCATTGAACAACCCCATGCCATGGTTAAATAGTGAAAAAACACACCAATATCTTTCTTAATTTCGAATTACAATAAAAGCCAATTTACCAACATTTCTGAAATTGATATATAGCGTTTTGGAATGAAACTCTTCATTTATGGATGGATTTGCAATTGTTACAATATTGTAATATTTGCCAGACCACTGTTTATCTAAAGTCAATGTGTAATTCCAACTCTACATACTGTTGATTTGTGTTTTAGAGTTGTGATCAATGGTCATAATAGTGTAATATCATTCTGTTCTGTAATTCTGTCTATTCATCTCACTTCCTTCATCCTCCACTCCTCTCCTTTTGCCTTCACACTACTCTAACCTTAACCCCCCCCCAGCACCTTCTCTCTAACCTTACCCCCCCAGCACCTTCTCTCTAACCTTAACCGCCCCAGCACCTTCTCTCTAACCTTAACCCCCCCAGCACCTTCTCTCTAACCTTAACCCCCCAGCACCTTCTCTCTAACCTTAACCCCCCCAGCACCTTCTCTCTAACCTTACCCCCCAGCACCTTCTCTCTAACCTTAACTCCCCCCAGCAACTTCTCTCTAACCTTAACACCCCCAGCATTTTCTCTCTAACCTTAACCCCCCCAGCACCTTCTCTCTAACCTTACCCCCCCAGCATCTTCTCCCTAACCTTGACCCCCCCAGCACCTTCTCTCTAACCTAAACCCCCAGCACCTTCTCTCTAACCTTAACCCCCCCAGCACCTTCTCTCTAACCTTAACCCCCCCAGCACCTTCTCTCTAACCTTACCCCCCCAGCATCTTCTCCCTAACCTTGACCCCCCCAGCACCTTCTCTCTAACCTAAACCCCCAGCACCTTCTCTCTAACCTTAACCCCCCCAGCACCTTCTCTCTAACCTTACCCCCCCAGCACCTTCTCTCTAACCTAAACCCCCAGCACCTTCTCTCTAACCTTAACCTCCCCAGCACCTTCTCTCTAACCTTAACCACCCCCCAGCATCTTCTCGCTAAGCTTAACTCCCCCCAGCACCTTCTCTCTAATCTTACCCCCCCACCCCCCAGCACCTTATCTCTAACCTTACCCCCCCAGCACCTTCTTTCTAACCTTAACCCCTCCAGCACCTTCTTTCTAACCTTAACCACCCACCCAGCACCTTCTCTCTAACCTTAACCACCCACCCAGCACCTTCTCTCTAACCTTACCCCCCCAGAACCTTCTCTCTAACCTTAACCTCCCCAGCACCTTCTCTCTAACCTTAACCCCCCCAGCACCTTCTCTCTAACCTTACCCCCCAGCACCTTCTCTCTAACCTTAACCTCCCCAGCACCTTCTCTCTAACCTTAACCTCCCCAGCACTTTCTCTCTAAGCTTAACCACCCCAGCACCTTCTCTCTAAGCTTAACCACCCCCCAGCACCTTCTCGCTAAGCTTAACTCCCCCCAGCACCTTCTCTCTAAGCTTAACCACCCCCCAGCACCTTCTCTCTAACCTTAACCTCCCCAGCACCTTCTCTCTAAGCTTAACCACCCCCCAGCACCTTCTCTCTAACCTTAACCTCCCCAGCACCTTCTCTCTAAGCTTAACCACCCCCCAGCACCTTCTCGCTAAGCTTAACTCCCCCCAGCACCTTCTCTCTAACCTTAACCTCCCCAGCACCTTCTCTCTAAGCTTAACCACCCCCCAGCACCTTCTCGCTAAGCTTAACTCCCCCCAGCACCTTCTCTCTAACCTTAACCCCCCCCAGCTCCTTCTCTCTCCTCTTCTCCCCCCAGTCTGTTAATTGTCATACATGCCATGTAGACCTATATCTAATCCAATTGCTTTCATAATGGCACACCATTCAAGGCCCACCCCTCTTCTCTCTTCTCATTTAACAGTCCCGACAGAAATATCAGCTCACGTCAGAGATAATGTCACGCTTCACTGCTATGGCTCGACCAATAAGCAGGCGACCAATGGTGAGATGCATGTGCAGTGGGATAAAGATGGACAGACTGTGCTGAAGATTGACCCGACCAATACTACCTATGGCCCTGGATTCATAAACAGGACATCAGTAAACAGGGATGGTTACAGAGAGGGTGACCTCTCCCTCACCATCACCAATGTACACTCGTCTGACCAGGGGACCTACCTGTGCTTCTTCAACCGTCATAGTGATCCAGGATATCCACATGGAGTCACTCTCACTGTTAAAGGTGGGATGTCTAGTGAATGCATTGCTCACCTAAGGTTTTGAATTTATATTCACTTTTTAATGTATAAACATTCTTTGTCTTATTATTTTACATCCTATTCATTTAGCAGACGCTCTTATCCAGAGCGACTTACAGGAGCAATTAGGGTTAAGTGCCTTGCTCAAGGGCACATTGACAGATTTCACCTAGTCAGCACGGGGATTCGAACCAGCAATCTTTCGGTTGCTGGCCCAACTCTTAACCGCTAGTCTACCACCCAGCCCATGATCAGCATTATCATAGTAGTAGATGTAGTGTTAGTGTAATAATTCAAGAGAATAGTATTTAGTCATGGTAGTCTTGCTGTTCTGTATTGTTGTCTGGGTTAGTTGAGATTATAAACTGGGTGGTTCGAGCCCTGAATGCTGATTGGCTGACAGCCGTGGTATATCAGCCTAAGATCAGGCCTTAGCCGTGGTATATTGGCTATATACAGCACCACACCCCCTCAGGCCTTATTGCTTCAGTATAATATTGTCTTCATATCCCTTATCTTTGCCCCACTAACACTACTGTTTTCTATCTTTGTGTGTTTGTCTGTGTTTCTCTAGAAAACCGTTTGGAGTCTACAACGAATGAGACAACTACAACGAGTGAGACAAGTGGAAGGAGTAGGTTGCCATTAGTGGTATGTCTAGTAGTATGTCTAGTCATTTGTGTGTTAGTATTAGTGGTGATCTGCAAGAGTAAGCAGAGACCTCCAACCATGGACGACACGATCACTGGAACAGAGGATAATGCAATGGTTACCCTAGGACCACTACGTCTTTCCACCGAGGAGACCCCTCTTCCTGCTCCAGTCCAGGAAAGCGAACCAGTGACCACTGACAGACAGAAGAGTTCCGATGATCATCCTGATGAGAACATGTGCCCCGAAAGAGTGGGACATATTCATGAGGATGAGCTCCCTGTCATGAGGATGGAACACACAGAGGAGGAAGAGGAGGCCCTCCATCTCCCCGTGACTGAAAGTGGGACACTGCTAGAGCAGAAGAAGAGTAACACAGGGAGTTGAGTTATGTATGAAGGTAGTCTGTTTTGGTTGACAACTTCATTGTTGTCGTCATGCCTTACAGTCTAGCCTTGTTGGATGAAAGGTTCACTGAAAAAGAGGATGTCTTCCCATCAGAGTTTACTGTATGAATCAGTAGCCAATGACTGTAGCCTGATTGGCTTAGATCAAATGATACTGGGGTTATTTTGTCTGGGGCCAGTCTTTACTTATGTCCTGCCTAGTCTTCCAGCCTTATTGGTGGCTTCAAATGTTTTCACTGTTGACCCATTTTTAAGGCCAGTGATTTTACACCAGTTCATTCCGAACTCAGGGATTAGGTGTGTTTTTCCAACAGTTCAACTAATATTCTCAGCCACATCTTTCAGGTTTCTAGCAATCCACGTGATCCTTTTGGCTGCATTTTTTTTTAAAGCAAAAGTATTGTTTAAGTGGGTGGGAAAGTGTAGGGTGTAAAGGAGGATTCATTAATTACTTTGGTGGTGGTGCTACTGATATTGTAACTGGAAGGTTTACTGGTCAAAATCAATCTCACGTCTAATCTGGCCTTGATTGATATCTCAGGGGATCACAGTACATGTAATACACAATACCCCCACAAGAGGGCAGACGTACACCATCATTTAAAATGTCAACGTGATAATTTTTTGGTCCGTGATCAACAACAAAAAATATTGACTAGCCTGGATAAATAAAAGTTCATATATACATATATACACTACCAGTCAAAAGTTTGGACACACCTACTCATTCCAGGGGTTCTTTATTTTTACTATTTTCTACATTGTAGAATAATGATGAAGACATCAAAACTATGGAATAACACATATGGAATCATTTAGTTACCAAAAAAGTGTTAAATAAATCTAAATATATTTTATATTTGAGATTCTTCAAATAGCCACCCTTTGCCTTGATGACAGCTTTGCACTCTCTTGGCATTCAGGTACACCAACATTTGTCTGTTGTCACTTGTTAACCCAAAACATATATAAAAATATATAAATAAAACTTGTTGTTAACCATGTTAACTTTTTACATTGAAAAGATTGCTCTTATCCTGTTATATAGTTAAATATATTTTGTGCATTTAAAAAACGAGGCCTAAATGGTGGAATTCAAGTATGTTATGTGTGGCAGTCTGTCAGAAAGCCTGGCTACGATCTTGATAGAGATTAATGTATTGCGAGATGCATACTCAATCTATCTACATGCATTTGATAAACGGTGATGAAGAATGATTATTACATTTACGTTTAATTTATATATATAAAGGCACAGAAAGTTCAAGGTTACACCTGTATCGGAACTATGTTTTGAGCGTCTGGTGCAAGCACTTGAAATGAATGGTTCGACACTGCGGCTGTGGCGGAGGGATTTCATAACATGTCCGTTGTGGTACACCCTTTTTACAGATTCTGACAGGGAATAGGAAGAGAGTTTAGTCCAACGGAAGCTATTTCTGTAAATCCACCATGGCTACTCCCGCCTCCAGCAGTTGATCTAGAAGTGTTGGAGAGACTACAGAAAGATAGGGATAGTGTTGATCCATCTGATTTGTTTAAGAGACGTCTGGATACTGTGTATCAGGATTTTGTGGCCATTTACACAGATGGTTCAAAAGATCCAAGGACAGGACGTTTTGCAACATAAAACTTTTTTCAACGAAGACGATCGTTTTTTTATTGGACAAGTTCAGGTAGTCTCTCGCTATTTAGCCCCGTTTGCTTCCGTTAACTTCGTAGTGAATTCGACCTGTCTGTTTTCCAAACGGCATCTTATTAATGGTTCAAACGATGAACTTAGCCAAAGTCATGTTGTAGGAGGGAGATTCCGACATGTGAGAAGTTTGTAGGTGGGTATGGGACAAATAATGTGTAGTATCGGTGGGAAAACTATCAATTCAAATAAAATAAAATGTATTGGTCACATACACATGGTTAGCAGATGTTATTGCGAGTGTAGCGAAATGCTTGTGCTTCTAGTTCCGACAGTGCATCAAGTAATATATAACAGTTCTACAACAAAAACCTAATACACACAAATCTAAATAAAGGAATGGAATAAGAATATATAAAAATATGGATGAGAAATGTCATTATCAGAGTGGCATAGTCTAAGATGCAATAGATAGTATAGAATACAGTATATACATATGAGATGGGTAAAGCAAGATATGTAAACATTAAAGTGACTAGTGTTCCATTTATTAACGTGGCCAGTGATTTTCAAGTCTGTATGTAGGTAGCAGACTCTCTGCTAGTGATGGCTGTTTAACAGTCTGATGGCCTTGAGATAGAAGCTGTTTTTCAATCTCTCGGTCCCAGCTTTGATGCACCTGTACTGTCCTCACCTTCTGGATGATAGCGGGGTGAACAGGCAGTGGCTCGGGTGGTAGTTGTCCTTGATTATATTTTTGGCCATCGGGTGCTGTAGGTGTCCTGGAGGGCAGGTAGTTTGCCCCCGGTGATGCGTTGTGCAGACTGCACCACCCTCTGGAGAGCCCTGCGGTTGTGGGCTGTGCAGTTGCCGTACCAGGCGGTGATACAGCCTGACAGGATGCTCTCAATTGTGCATCTGTAAAAGTTTGTGAGGGTTTTAAGTGACAGGCCAAATTTCTTCAGCCTCCTGATGTTGAAGAGACGCTGTTGCGCCTTCTTCACCACACTGTCTGTGTGGGTGGACCATTTCAGTTTGTCAGTGATATGTACGCAGAGGAACTTAAAACTTTCCACCTTCTCCACTGCTGTCCCGTCGATGTGAATAGGGGGGTACTCCCTCTGCTGTTTCCTGAAGTCCACGATAATCTCCTTTGTTTTTTTGACGTTGAGTGAGAGGTTATTTTCCTGACACCACACTCCGAGAGCCCTCACCTCCTCCCTGTAGGCTGTCTCATTGTTGTTGGTAATCAAGCCTACTACTGTTGTGTCGTCTGCAAACTTCATGATTGAGTTGGAGGCGTGCATGGCTACGCAGTCATGGGTGAACAGGGAGTACAGGAGGGGGCTGAGCACACACCCTTGTGGGGCCCCAGTGTTGAGGATCAGCGAAGTAGAGATGTTGTTTCCTACCTTCACCACCTGGGGAACTTCCTGTCAGGAAGTCCAGGACCCAACTGCGCAGGGCAGGGTTGAAACCCAGGGCCTCAAGCTTGATGATGAGCTTGGAGGGTACTATGGTGTTGAATGCTGAGCTATAGTCAAAGAACAGCATTCTTACATAGGTATTCCTCTTGTCCAGATGGGATAGGGCAGTGTGCAATTGTGGGTGTGTCCATGTTGCTGGGGATCAGAAGTGTCCAGTGCGGGAGAGAGACAGGTTGAGATTGCCAGGGTCAGAGTAGAACAGGTGTCATATGCTGAGGCAGTGAAGAAAGTAGAGGATGATGGGTCAAGGCTTAGTAGTCCTAGGCCAATACAGAGTGATACGAATTTGTGCTTCGTTAAGGTGGGCTTCTTACCATTCATTGCCATAGTTATCAACTGTATGGCAGAAATGGAACATACATTTTTATTTTTTATTTTTATTTCACCTTTATTTAACCAGGTAAACCAGTTGAGAACAAGTTCTCATTTACAACTGCGACCTGGCCAAGATAAAGCAAAGCAGTGCGATAAAAACAACAACACAGAGTTACATATGGGGTAAAACAAAACAAAGTCAAAAATACAACAGAAATACATATATATACAGTGTGTGCAAATGTAGCAAGTTATGGAGGTAAGGCAATAAATAGGCTATAGTGCAAAATAATTACAATTAGTATTAACACTGGAATGATAGATGTGCAAGAGATGATGTGCAAATAGAGATACTGGGGTACAAATGAGCAAAATAAATAACAATATAGGGATGAGGTAGTTGGGCGGGCTAATTTCAGATGGGCTGTGTACAGGTGCAGTGATCGGTAAGGTGCTCTGACAACTGATGCTTAAAGTTAGTGAGGGAGATAAGTGTCTCCAGCTTCAGAGATTTTTGCAATTTGTTCCAGTCATTGGCAGCAGAGAACTGGAAGGAATTGCGGCCAAAGGAGGTGTTGGCTTTGGGGATGACCAGTGAGATATACCTGCTGGAGCGCAGACTACGGGTGGGTGTTGCTATGGTGACCAATGAGCTAAGATAAGGCGGGGATTTGCCTAGCAGTGATTTATAGATGGCCTGGAGCCAGTGGGTTTGGCGACGAATATGTAGTGAGGACCAGCCAACAAGAGCGTACAGGTCACAGTGGTGGGTATTATATGGGGCTTTGGAGACAAAACGGATGGCACTGTGATAGACTACATCCAATTTGCTGAGTAGAGTGTTGGAGGCTATTTTGTAAATGACATCGCCGAAGTCAAGGATCGGTAGGATAGTCAGTTTTACAAGGGCATGTTTGGCAGCATGAGTGAAGGAGGCTTTGTTGCGAAATAGGAAACCGATTCTAGATTTAACTTTGGATTGGAGATTCTTAATGTGAGTCTGGAAGGAGAGTTTACAGTCTAACCAGACACCTAGATATTTGTAGTTGTCCACATACTCTAGGTCAGACCCGTCGAGAGTAGTGATTCTAGTCGGGTGGGCGGGTGCAAGCAGCGTTCGGTTGAAGAGCATGCATTTAGTTTTACTAGTGTTTAAGAGCAGTTGGAGGCTACTGAAGGAGTGTTGTATGGCATTGAAGCTCGTTTGGAGGTTTGTTAACACAGTGTCCAATGAAAGGCCAGATGTATACAAAATGGTGTCGTCTGCGTAGAGGTGGATCTGAGAGTCACCAGCAGCAAGAGCGACGTCATTGATATACACAGAGAAAAGAGTCGGCCCAAGAATTGAACCCTGTGGCACCCCCATAGAGACTGCCATAGGTCCAGACAACAGGCCCTCCGATTTGACACATTGAACTCTATCTGAGAAGTAGTTGGTGAACCAGGCGAGGCAGTCATTTGAGAAACCAAGGCTATTTAGTCTGCCAATAAGAATGCGGTGGTTGACAGAGTCGAAAGCCTTGGCCAGGTCAATGAAAACGGCTGCACAGTACTGTCTATTATCGATCGCGGTTATAATATCGTTTAGGACCTTGAGCGTGGCTGAAGTGCACCCATGACCAGCTCGGAAACCGGATTGCATAGCGGAGAATGTACGGTGGGATTCGAAATGGTCGGTGATCTGTTTGTTGATTTGGCTTTCAAAAACTTTTGAAAGGCAGGGCAGGATGGATATGGGTCTGTAACAGTTTGGATCTAGAGTGTCACCCCCTTTGAAGAGGGGGATGACCGCGGCAGCTTTCCAATCTCTGGGGATCTCAGACGTTACGAAAGAGAGGTTGAACAGGCTAGTAATAGGGGTTGCGACAATTTCGGCGGCTAGTTTTAGAAAGAAAGGGTCCAGATTGTCTAGCCCAGATGATTTGTAGGGGTCCAGATTTTGCAGCTCTTTCAGAACATCAGCTGTCTGGATTTGTGTGAAGGAGAAGCGGGGGGGGCATGGGCAAGTTGCAGCGGAGGGTGCAGAGCTGGTGGCCAGGGTAGTGGTAGCCAGGTGGAAAGCATGGCCAGCCGTAGCAAAATGCTTGTTGAAATTCTCGATTATTGTAGATTTATCGGTGGTGATAGTGTTTCCTAGCCTCAGTGCAGTGGGCAGCTGGGAGGAAGTGCTCTTATTTTCCATGGACTTTACAGTGTCCCAAAACTTTTTGGAGTTAGTGCTACAGGATGCAAATTTCTGTTTGAAAAAGTTAGCCTTTGCTTTCCTAACTGCTTGTGTATATTGGTTCCTAACTTCCCTGAAAAGTTGCATATCGCGGGGGCTATTTGATGCTAATGCAGTACGCCACAGGATGTTTTTGTGCTGGTCAAGGGCAGTCAAGTCTGAGGAGAACCAGGGGCTATATCTGTTCTTAGTTCTGTATTTTTTGAATGGGGCATGTTTATTTAAGATTGAGAGGAAATTACTTTTAAAGAACAACCAGGCATCCTCTACTGACGGAATGAGATCTATATCCATCCAGGATACCTGGGCCAGGTCAATTAGGAAGGCCTGCTCACTGAAGTGTTTTTGGGAGCGTTTGACAGTGATGAGGGGTGGTCGTTTGACCGCGGACCCGTTACGGACGCAGGCAATAAGGCAGTGATCGCTGAGATCCTGGTTGAAGACAACGGAGGTGTATTTAGAGGGTAAGTTAGTCAGGATGATATCTATGAGGGTACCCATGTTTACGGATTTAGGGTTGTACCTGGTAGGTTCGTTGATAATTTGTGTGAGATTGAGGGCATCTAGTTTAGATTGTAGGATGGCCGGGGTGTTAAGCATATCCCAATTTAGGTCACCAAGCAGTACGAACTCTGAGGATAGATGGGGGGCAATCAATTCACATATGGTGTCCAGGGCACAGCTGGGGGCTGAGGGGGGTCTGTAGCAAGCGGCAACAGTGAGAGATTTATTTCTGGAAAGGTGGATTTTTAGAAGTAGAAGCTCAAACTGTTTGGGCACAGACCTGGATAGTATGATAGAGCTCTGCAGGCTATCTCTACAGTAGATTGCAACTCCACCCCCTTTGGCAGTTCTATCTAGACGGAAAATGTTATAGTTGGGGATGGAAATTTCATAATTTTTGGTGGCCTTCCTAAGCCAGGATTCAGACACTGCTAGAACATCAGGGTTGGCAGAGTGTGCTAACGCAGTGAATAACTCAAACTTAGGAAGGAGGCTTCTGATATTTACGTGCAGAAAACCAAGACTTTTACGGTTACAGAAGTCAACAAATGATAGCTCCTGGGGAGTAGGAGTGATACTGGGGGCTGCAGGGCCTGGGTTAGCCTCTACATCACCAGAGGAACAGAGGAGGACTAGAATAAGGATACGACTAAAGGCTTTAAGAACTGGTCTTCTAGTGCGTTGGGTACATAGAATAAAGGGGGCAGTTCTCCGGGCGTTGTAGGAAAGATTCAGGGCATTATGTACAGAAAAGGATATGGAAGGATATGAGTACAGTTCAGGTAACCCTAAGCGTTGGGTAACAATGAAAGAGATAGCGTCACTGGAGGCACCGATTGAGCCGATTGAGCCGGTCTCGGCGTGTATGGGGGGTGGAACAAAGGAACTATTTGAGGCAGTTTGAGAGGGACTAGGGGTTCTACAGTGAAATTGTATAATAAGAACTAACCCAAACAGCAATAGGCAAGGCATAATTGACATGGGAGAGAGGCATAAAGCAGTCACAGGTGTTATTAGAGAGAGCTAAGACAACAACTGGAAATAGCGATAACGTTTGGGCTAAGGCTAAACAGAATAAACAGAATAAACAGGACAGGGTACCGTGTAAAGGAACAGTCCAGCAGGCATCAGCTGTGCAGCTGAGTGATCATAAGGTCCAGTGAACAGCAATATGTGAGTCCGAGAGCAGTTCAAATTGGTGCTTCAGCACAGCTAGCAGGGAGCACAGTTGTAGTTTGCGTGTGCTAGCGGGCCGGGGCTGGCAGATGGATCTTCGTGGTCGTCGCAACGGGAAGCCTGTTGAAACCACATCAGAATATTTCGTCTGCAGACCAGTCGTGTTGGATCGGCGGGGCTCAGTGTCAACACTAGGAGGTCCCGTCCGGTTGACAGAGAGGTAGATAGCCGGGAGATGGGCCTGAGGCTAGCTCAAGGCTAACTGGTGCTTGCTATAGGGCAATGGTAATCAGCCAACAACAGGTTAAAGCTAGCTGGTTGCGATGATCCGGCGCTAGGGTCCAGTGATTCCGGCAGAAAGTCCAATAAGTTCTGGGTCGATAGCACGCTGGGTCGATAGCACGCTGTGCAGACTGGCCGACGAATTGTCCAGGCTAGAGCTAGAGCTGGCTGGTGGATAGTGTAGGCCACGGACAGTGGTGAAGACGCTAACGGTGACTAATAACAGGTAGCCATTCAGTTGCAGCTCCACTATTTTCAGCTTACGGTTCTTGATGAAAGTTATAAAGAAATAGTAGAATCCTTTCCACGTTGGGTGAGGCGGGTTGCAGGAAAGTATATTTAGTTAAAGAATGAAAAGTACAAATTGAGAAATATATACAAAATAGACAAAAAAAAACAAGAAACGGGATATTTACACAGGGACAATGAATAAAAGCGACCGCACTGCTACGCCAAAATAGATGTTGTGGTGGCATCTGCAGAGAAGTACGAGGTTTTACTGCAGAAGAGTTACAAGCTGTGTGTAATATTCATACGTGTCAGCATACTGAATTGTAATTGGATTCATTCTACCGACGTATCATACTGTGCTATGATTGGTTAAGACCCCCCAGGTGGTGAGGTCATCTTCAGATGATCATGGCCGGAGACACATGAACATGCCAGTTATAGCTAGCTAATAAAGAGCTACTTTTAGAAAAATCCTGTCGTACTGCATTTTATTATTTTGTACAAAGCGTACGTTCATATCATGTTCGCACCGCAGAAGGAGCGGTGTACCGCCACGATCGTCGTCACCTACTGAACACAAAAGTACAACACACTGACGAGAGGAACTGTTCCCCTGAAAGAGAACGGGGTGGACTAAACACAGACACAACACAACATACACCATACTTACCTGCAACACCACAAGAACTGTGGACTGACACAGAAGCATAATCAGCTTCGTATCACACAAGGTCAGGAAGAGAGGTCAAGCCTAGAGCTGTCCTAGACCTGTGAAATGTCAAAGGGCGTAGGCGGATCGCTGCCCTAAAAGAGTTTGACTGTAAACTTGTTATTGAAATGTTAACTTGAAATGCTTTGGTATTGTATTAGTTTGATATGTTGAGATGTCATTGCTACAGTGAAAAGCTGAGTTGCTGAGAAATATGTGTTCTAAAAGTAACAGTATGCTGAATCACTGTTTCAGTCTGTTATGTTGATGCAGTTAGTGCAGTATAAATGGTTACTTACCTCGAGTTCAAACTACAGAGCATGTATTCAAAAGAAACGCTTAAAATATGTAGAACATATTTTTTTATTTTTTTAAGAAGGGGGATGTAATATTCATATGTGTCAGCATACTGAATTGTAATTGGATGCATTCTACCGTCGTATCATACTGCGCTATGATTGGTTAAGACTACCCAGGTGGTCATCTTCAGATGATCATGGCCGGAGACACATGAACATGCCAATTATAGTTAGTTAATAAAGAGCTACGTTTAGAAAGATCCTGTCGTACTGCATTTTATTATTTTGTACAAAACAAGACAGTGTGTTAAAGGAAAGAGCCCCGTCCTCCCAGGCCGTTGGCCTGCTGGAAGATTAGGGTCAAAGTAGTGGAATGGGCTGGTGATTTTTATGAAACGGTTCGTTTGTGGGGTTTTTCATTTCCCCCTTTTTTTATTTTTGTGTCACAAAATGTAACGTGATTTGAATACACACTACCGCACAGGATGTGGTGGCATGCACCAACAAAATGTGCGAACGCCACGATACTGAAGAAGAAGAACTTAGCCAAAGATGATTTTGGGAAACCGGGCCCTGGGCCTGTATTCACAAAGCCTCTGATCTAGGATCAGTTTTGCCTTTATAATCATAGTGAATAATAGGAGGGACCTGATCGTAGATCATCACTCCTACTCTGAGATGCTTTGTGGATACGGGCCCTGGCCCCTGGTCCATTCATACCGAATCCGACTGAGTCGATAGGCTTTGGTGTAGGATTGTTTTCCCCCACAATGAAATCGGAGGTGGACTATGGATCTGTCTCTGACATGTTTACTGTTTGATGTTGGCAAATTCTGTGTTTATGTCTGTAGGCTACTATTTTAGTGTAGGCTATATTGTTTTAGAAATGTCAATCTTATCCATAGCAACAATCCATCATTAAAATGCTTTCAATTTCACAGATTGAGCAGTAAGCACAGCCATGGGTTGGAAATGGAGCAAATTTATGCTTGTATTTCTTGGTAAGTTTTTCCTAACTTAATCTTGTTAGATTTTCTCTTTACACTTGATTTTTGTAACATAGCCTCCTGATCAACATCATTGAGTGTTTTCACTGTATTAGCCATATCAAATATGTTGATAATAGTTAATCTACAAATATCAACCAAATAATCCTTCTATTTATTTTGCCTCCTGCCAGTTTGTACAGAATGCTCCTCGATTGGTAATGGTAACGTTATCATTCAGAAAATAGTGAATTTGAAGCACGAGATCACTCTCCCTTGCAATGCAATCTGTGACAGTGGCATCGAGTGGAGGATTCATCGTGGCGAGATGGTTGCCAAGCTTGATCAAAGGAACTTCACTGGAGGAAAGGGCTTTGAGAACCGGGTTAAAATCAACAAAGACTTCTCTCTCACCATTACCTCTGCTGTGTACAATGACAAGGGCTCGTATGAGTGTCTCTGTGATGGGTATGCTGTTGGAGATGTAAAACTCGATGTTCTGGGTAAGTTCGAGAGACATTAAACTTTTTACATATTGAATGTTGACTGGAAACAAGAACAAAGACTAATATACTAAGAATAATGGGTTTGCTGGGAGTGCTGGGCATTCCCAAAACAATTTGAGGGATAAGCCTACTCATAAGTGTAAACAAAGGAAAGTTACAATATTTATATTTGTCCAGACCACTGTTTTTCTGAACTCCAATCAATATACTGTTTCTTTGTGTTTTGGAGTTATCTTAATAGTATCACATCCCAGCAAACATGCCCACATTGGCACTACAATATTGGCCCCATGTAGGCTGGGCCAATGCGCCTTTGCTCATCGGCTCCCCAAGGCATTTGCCCCGTGTGGCCCAGTGTTGGCAGCCCATATCTGTTGAGGGCAGCCCTCACTTTGCCTGAAATAACCCCATAGTTTCCCAGCAAACATGCCGACATTGGCACCAAGTGGGCTAAAATATTGGTCTCATGTAGGCTGCCCACATTGGGCTGATGCACCTTTGCTGTTTAATAGGAGTGTATTCATTATATATTTATTACAGTTTAAATGCATCAATTGCATACATTTTAGGCTTTATGGGTATTTAGGGAACGTGATACATTGTATCAGAAAGAGAAATTGTTAACATAATACATATATTATTTTACAAGACAAACTGTTAATTTTCTCATATGTCACATGCACTTATTTCAGTATTTTTAAAGACTTCATCATTGGCAGTGTACAAGATTTAAAAAAGTGGGCATCACACAACAGAACACGGAACAACACTCTCAGAAACAGTTACAAAAAAAGAAGTGTGTGCAAACCAAGCCCCAAAATATTATAACGATCCCCAACCTCTAGCGGGGCTTGGTGTGGGCTAGTCTCTAGCTGGGCTTGGTGTGGGCTAATCTCTAGCTGGGCGTGGTGTGGGCTAGTCTCTAGCTGGGCTTGGTGTGGGCTAGTCTCTAGCTGGGCTTGGTGTGGGCTAATCTCTAGCTGGGCGTGGTGTGGGCTAGTCTCTAGCTGGGCTTGGTGTGGGCTAGTCTCTAGCTGGGCTTGGTGTGGGCTAGTCTCTAGCTGGGCTTGGTGTGGGCTAATCTCTAGCTGGGCGTGGTGTGGGCTAGTCTCTAGCGGGGCTTGGTGTGGGCTAGTCTCTAGCGGGGCTTGGTGTGGGCTAATCTCTAGCTGGGCTTGGTGTGGGCTAATCGCTAGCTGGGCTTGGTGTGGGCTAATCTCTAGCTGGGCTTGGTGTGGGCTAATCTCTAGCTGGGCTTGGTGTGGGCTAGTCTCTAGCTGGGCTTGGTGTGGGCTAATCTCTAGCTGGGCTTGGTGTGGGCTAGTCTCTAGCTGGGCTTGGTGTGGGCTAATCTCTAGCTGGGCTTGGTGTGGGCTAATCTCTAGCTGGGCTTGGTGTGGGCTAATCTCTAGCTGGGCTTGGTGTGGGCTAGCCTCTAGCGGGGCTTGGTGTGGGCTAATCTCTAGCGGGGCTTGGTGTGGGCTAGCCTCTAGCGGGGCTTGGTGTGGGCTAATCTCTAGCGGGGCTTGGTGTGGGCTAGTCTCTAGCTGGGCTTGGTGTGGGCTAATCTCTAGCTGGGCTTGGTGTGGGCTAATCTCTAGCTGGGCTTGGTGTGGGCTAGCCTCTAGCTGGGCTTGGTGTGGGCTAATCTCTAGCTGGGCTTGGTGTGGGCTAATATCTAGCTGGGCTTGGTGTGGGCTAGTCTCTAGCTGGGCTTGGTGTGGGCTAATCTCTAGCTGGGCTTGGTGTGGGCTAATCTCTAGCGGGGCTTGTTGTGGGCTAATCTCTAGCTGGGCTTGGTGTGGGCTAATCTCTAGCGGGGCTTGGTGTGGGCTAATCTCTAGCTGGGCTTGGTGTGGGCTAATCTCTAGCTGGGCTTGGTGTGGGCTAATCTCTAGCGGGGCTTGGTGTGGGCTAATCTCTAGCTGGGCTTGGTGTGGGCTAATCTCTAGCTGGGCTTGGTGTGGGCTAGCCTCTAGCTGGGCTTGGTGTGGGCTAATCTCTAGCGGGGCTTGGTGTGGGCTAGTCTCTAGCTGGGCTTGGTGTGGGCTAATCTCTAGCGGGGCTTGGTGTGGGCTAATCTCTAGCTGGGCTTGGTGTGGGCTAATCTCTAGCTGGGCTTGGTGTGGGCTAGCCTCTAGCTGGGCTTGGTGTGGGCTAATCTCTAGCGGGGCTTGGTGTGGGCTAGTCTCTAGCTGGGTTTGGTGTGGGCTAATCTCTAGCGGGGCTTGGTGTGGGCTAGCCTCTAGCTGGGCTTGGTGTGGGCTAATCGCTAGCGGGGCTTGGTGTGGGCTAATCTCTAGCTGGGCTTGGTGTGGGCTAATCTCTAGCGGGGCTTGGTGTGGGCTAGTCTCTAGCGGGGCTTGGTGTGGGCTAATCTCTAGCGGGGTTTGGTGTGGGCTAGTCTCTAGCTGGGCTTGGTGTGGGCTAATCTCTAGCTGGGCTTGGTGTGGGCTAATCTCTAGCGGGGCTTGGTGTGGGCTAGCCTCTAGCTGGGCTTGGTGTGGGCTAATCGATAGCGGGGCTTGGTGTGGGCTAGCCTCTAGCTGGGCTTGGTGTGGCTAGCCTCTAGCTGGGCTTGGTGTGGCTAATCTCTAGCTGGGCTTGGTGTGGGCTAATCTCTAGCGGGGCTTGGTGTGGGCTAGTCTCTAGCGGGGCTTGGTGTGGGCTAATCTCTAGCTGAGCTTGGTGTGGGCTAATCTCTAGCGGGGCTTGGTGTGGGCTAGTCTCTAGCGGGGCTTGGTGTGGGCTAATCTCTAGCGGGGCTTGGTGTGGGCTAGTCTCTAGCTGGGCTTGGTGTGGGCTAATCTCTAGCGGGGCTTGGTGTGGGCTAATCGCTAGCGGGGCTTGGTGTGGGCTAATCTCTAGCGGGGCTTGGTGTGGGCTAGCCTCTAGCTGGGCTTGGTGTGGGCTAATCTCTAGCGGGGCTTGGTGTGGGCTAGCCTCTAGCTGGGCTTGGTGTGGGCTAATTGATAGCGGGGCTTGGTGTGGGCTAGCCTCTAGCTGGGCTTGGTGTGGGCTAATCTCTAGCTGGGCTTGGTGTGGGCTAATCGCTAGCGGGGCTTGGTGTGGGCTAGCCTCTAGCGGGGCTTGGTGTGGGCTAGCCTCTAGCTGGGCTTGGTGTGGGCTAGTCTCTAGCTGGGCTTGGTGTGGGCTAATCTCTAGCTGGGCTTGGTGTGGGCTAATCTCTAGCTGGGCTTGGTGTGGGCTAGTCTCTAGATGGGCTTGGTGTGGGCTAGTCTCTAGCTGGGCTTGGTGTGGGCTAATCTCTAGCGGGGCTTGGTGTGGGCTAGTCTCTAGCGGGGCTTGGTGTGGGCTAGCCTCTTGCGGGGCTTGGTGTGGGCTAGTCTCTAGCTGGGCTTGGTGTGGGCTAGTCTCTAGCTGGGCTTGGTGTGGGCTAATCTCTAGCTGGGCTTGGTGTGGGCTAATCTCTAGCTGGGCTTGGTGTGGGCTAATCTCTAGCGGGGCTTGGTGTGGGCTAGTCTCTAGCGGGGCTTGGTGTGGGCTAGTCGCTAGCTGGGCTTGGTGTGGGCTAGCCTCTTGCGGGGCTTGTTGTGGGCTAATCTCTAGCTGGGCTTGGTGTGGGCTAATCGCTAGCGGGGCTTGGTGTGGGCTAGTCTCTAGCGGGGCTTGGTGTGGGCTAGCCTCTTGCTGGGCTTGGTGTGGGCTAATCTCTAGCGGGGCTTGGTGTGGGCTAATCTCTAGCTGGGCTTGGTGTGGGCATGCCCGTTCCCACCTTGCCCAACCGAATACCCACATGGGGCCAATTGGGTCATGTTTGCTGGGATTCTTCTGTTTTATAGACGGGTTGGTTGTTTTGCAAAAAAAATGACACTTGCAAAACAGACAGGGTTGGCTTAGACTGTTGACAACACGTAAACTATATTTCGTCTCCAATGTTCATTGAAAACATAAATACATTTGTACAATGAGCACTTTAATCTCAAATACATCGTTACAGTTGTTGGTTAGCTAGCTAGCACATTTTTGCCAAATTAGCATTGACATGAAATAAGTCAACACCTCAAAACAAGACATGGTATCAATAACAAGATACAACTAGCTGAAACGAGCCACCTACTATTCCCACATGGCAGCTTCGGAGGGGTATACTACGAAGCAAGCTAGATCTACTCAGGGTTTTCTCAAGCTAACCAGCTTCAGTTAGTTTCACATTCCAGTTGCCTGTGAGTTAGCCGGCCCGGGAGCAGGTTAGTTCTGAAGGATGCGTTGCCATGGAAATGTACCTGGCTAAAAGGTGAGCCACTTTCGTATGACTGGTTATTCCAAGTTGAACTCAAGAGTTGACCAAAGTTACCATGCTAACTCCTCAAACCTGCTTCGTATGATACCCCTCTGGTCATTAATTGTTGCTAGCTACAGTATCTGACTGTTCAGAATCGTAATAAAGTAGAGCTTCCAGCCACATGGATGGGCGCGCATCATTTTTGTGTCGTTGTCAGCCAACCCGTCTTTGATCTACTTTGTGCTGCTCTTAGTTAGTTATTCCCTAACCCACCCTCCTCTCATTTCCCCCAAGCACCTTTTCTCCCCCCTCCTCGCATCTTCCCCACTCAGTCCTTCCCAACTACTGTTAAATGTCATAAATTTTAAACTGAGCCATGGTGTAGGCCTATATCTAATCCAATTGCTTTCATAATGGCACACCATTCAAGGCCCACCCCTCTTCTCTCTTCTCATTTAACAGACCCAACAAAAATATCAGCTGATGTCGGAGATAATGTCACGCTTCCCTGCTATGGCTCGACCAATAAGCAGGCGACCGATGGTGAGATGCATGTGCAGTGGGATAAAGATGGACAGACTGTGCTGAAGATTGACCCGACCAATACTACCTATGGACCTGGATTCATGAACAGGACATCAGTAAACAGGGATGGTTACAGAGAGGGTGACCTCTCCCTCATCATCACCAATGTATGCTCATCTGACCAGGGGACCTACCTGTGCTTCTTCAACCGTCATAGTGATCCAGGATATCCACATGGAGTCACACTCACTGTTAAAGGTGGGATGTCTAGTGAATGCATTGCTCACTTAAGTTTTTTATTTAATATTCCATTTTCATGTTTAGACATTGTTCTTTGTCTAATTATTATCATAGTAGTAGATGTAGTGTTAGTGTAATAATGCAAGAGAATAGTATTTAGTCATGGAAATCTTGCTGTTGTGTATTGTTGTCTGCTTTTTTTGAGATTATAAACTGGGTGGATCGAGCCCTCAATGCTGATTGGCTGACAGCCGTGGTATATCAGCCTAATATCAGGCCTTAGCCGTGGTATATTGGCTATATACAGCACCACACCCCCTCAGACCTTATTGCTTCAGTATAATATTGTCTTCATATCCCTTATCTTTGCCCCACTAACACTACTGTTTTCTATCTTTGTGTGTTTGTCTGTTTTTCTAGAAAACCGTTTGGAGTCTACAACGAGTGAGACAAGTGGAAGGAGTAGGTTGCCATTAGTGGTATGTTTAGTAGAATGTCTAGTCATTTGTGTGTTAGTGGTGGTGATCTGCATGTGTAAGCAGAGACCTCCAACCATGGATAACACAATGGTTACCCTAGAACCACCACGTCTTTCCACCGAGGAGACCCCTCTTCCTGCTCCAGTCCAGGAAAGCGAACCAGTGACCACTGACAGACAGATGAATTCCGATGATCATCCTGATGAGAACATGTGCCCCGAAAGAGTGGGACATATTCATGAGGATGAGCTCCCTGTCATGAGGATGGAACACACAGAGGAGGAAGAGGAGGCCCTCCATCTCCCCGTGACTGAAAGTGGGACACTGCTAGAGCAGAAGAAGAGTAACACAGGGAGTTGAGTTATGTATGAAGGTAGTCTGTTTTGGTTGACAACTTCATTGTTGTCGTCATGCCTTACAGTCTAGCCTTGTTGGATGAAATGTTCACTGAAAAAGAGGATGTCTTCCCATCAGAGTTTACTGTATGAATCAGTAGCCAATGACTGTAGCCTGATTGGCTTGGATCAAATGATACTGGGGTTATTTTGTCTGGGGCCAGTCTTTACTTATGTCCTGCCTAGTCTTCCAGCCTTATTGGTGACTTCAAATGTTTTCCCTGTGGACCCATTTTTAAGGCCAGTGATTTTACACCAGCATAATAATTATATGGGGGGGAAATGAAAAACAGTTTGAATCGCTGAGTTCATTCCGAACTCAGGGATTAGGTGTGTTTTATCCAACAGTTCAACGACTAATATTCTCAGCCCCATCTTTCATGTTTCTAGCAATCCAAGTGATCCGTTTAGCTGAAAAATTGTAAAAAAGCAAATTCTCCTTTAAGTGGATATGAAAGGTTAGGATGTAAAGCGGTGGTGTAAAGTATGAAAGTAAAAATACTTTAAAGTACTAAAGTAGTTTTTGGGGGTATCTGTACTTTACTTGACTATTTATATTTTTGACAACTTTTATTTCACTACATTCCTAAAGAAAATTATGTACTTTTTACTCCATACAGTTTCCCTGACACCCAAAAGTGAATGCTTAGCAGGACAGGAAAATTGTCTAATTCACACACTTAACAAGAGAACATCCCTGTTCATCCATACTCCCTCTGATCTGGCGGACTCACTAAAAACATAATTTATTTGTAAATTATGTCTGAGTGTTGGAGCATGCCCCTGGCTATCAGCACATTTTTTATGTATTATTATGCCGTCTGATTTTGCTTTATATAAGGAATAAAAAAGTATTTATACCTTTACTTTTGATACTTAAGTATATTTTAACAATTACATTTAGTTTTGATACTTAAGTATATTTAAAACAAAATACTTTTAGACTTTTACTGAAGTAGTATTTTAATGGGTAACTTTAACTTTTAATAGAGTCATTTTCTATGAAGGTATCTTTACTTTTACTCAAGTATGAAAATTGGGTACTTTTTCCACCACTGGTGTAAAGGAGGAATTATTAATCACTTTGGTGGTGGTGCTACTGATATTGTAACTGGAAGGTTTACTGGTCAAAATCAATCTCACATCTAATCTGGCCTTGCTTAATATCTCAGGGGATCACAGTACTGTAATAGAAAAGATCCTCCCAAGAGGGCAGACTTACACCATCATTTAAATGTAAACTGTGATTATTTTGTGGTAAGTGATACCCGAGATCCTTGGGACGTCCCTACCCTAAATCCTAACCTTAAACCATAGCCCATACCTTAATCCTTACATTAACTATTTTACAGTGGGGTAGGCACGTCCAAAGGATCCCCGATAGCAGATGAAGGTATTTTTATGTATTACATGATGCGTAATAAATATATGCATTTGCTAAATGATTGTAAAGAATGTTTGCTACATGAACGTTTATTTTATAAAATGTAATAAAGACTATTGTACACAAAGTGTAAACCTGTGTCGAAACTGTTTTGAGCCACTGGCGCAAGGACCTGCAATTTGTATATTGATTGTCATATCGAGTCTTTTCGGTGAGCCGGATCATTTGGCTCCGTTCACGTAAAAGAGAAGGGCTTATTTGGCTCCCAAACGGCTCTTCGTTCAAAATGCTTAAACATCGACCTAGAAGCATGAAAAAATGTGCAAATCTCTAATGTAAAGCCCCAAAATTAGGCTATTATTATGTCAGATCGTCAAATACATGTTTACCTGGCCAAATTATTAGATGTCCTGCAACACAATAGGGTTTTTTTATGCACTGAAAAAAATCAGCATGGACCAGATTGCCGTGCTCTCCCCACTATTTATTGTTTCTGCAGTGAGGACTCCCCCTCTTTATAATGATTGTGTCATTTATCTGCAGAAACAATAAATAGCACGCCAAAAAAAACAGTAGTAGCAGTATGCAAATCAGGGAGCCAAATGAACAACTCTTTCACCAATGTGCTTCGGTTCCCGACGTTCACCAAAAAGATCAGTTCAAAAAGTGCTGTTAATTCGCAAACGACCTATCGCTAAGAGCCGATTTATGCTTGATCCGAAATGTGGTCAAAGGATGGTGTGGCAGAATTGCGGGGGCCCCCAGAGGCCAAATTGAGCTCGGTGTGTATCGCTGTGCGCCTCTAAAATGTTTTAACGATGCGGATGGCTCCGTATAGCTCCGCATTGTATAAACACAAACTCACTTCCTTGACAACTTACTTCACAACAGCCCTGCGCTGGTCTGCGAAGCGCAAGAAGTATGAATGCCCTGACATCCAATGCAGATGTCAGATTGACCATGTAGCGCCTTAAATGGTTTGACACTGGTTGTGGCGGAGGGATTTCATGACCTGGCCGTGGTGTTTGCCCTGCTAGCTAAATCATGTGAGGCAAGAAGACACCAACTAAACCACTGGCCGCATGTAAGTTATAAGAGAAGTCGACAATTTAGGTTGAATTATTGCGTTAATATACTGTTATTATAATGTCACAAAATGTATCAGACTTTTTTGCAGCTATCCAATACAACTAGCTAGCTAACTAGAGAGCACGAGCGAGCCCAGTCCGTGTTCACTAGCTCGCTCGCTAGCTAGGTTGGAAAATGTGGTTGGCTAGCTAGCTTTCTTAATTTCAGTTCACTTATTTGAAATATTGTAAAATATCACACAATTGTATTGTGCATTAAAAAGCCTGCTTCTCTTCTTGGAAAATGGTTTTGATGAGTTTGTTGAGCTAGCTAAATGCAAGAAGCCAGAAACCAGATGTTGTATGCACATGTATTCCGCAACATGATTCCAACAAACCTCAGAAGCTATCGAGACAGATAATAATATTGTAGCGGCCCGCACAGACAGCTGTGTGTTATGTGCTGTTCGTTGGTTGTGTTGTACTTACCAGTACCCAGTGTTCGTGGGGTCCGACATGCCAGTCAACCTGCTATCTGAGTTTGGTTAATAAACCGGGAATTCGTAAACTCAAACCTCTGTCTGGACAATTGTTCATTTATGATCATTACAATATTTTCTAACGTTCGTTCTGTCTAGAAGGCAGGTGAGAAAGAAGGCGCTTGCAAACGAGAGCGGTAAAAACAAAACAAAAACTACCGCCCGAACAGGGACTTGAACCCTGGACCCTCAGATTAAAAGTCTGATGCTCTACCGACTGAGCTATCCGGGCTCTGACATGCAGAGAAAATTTAAATATCTTGATTTTAGAAGGTGTAGCTAGATCACATCTAAACTTGTTAGGAAAGTGAGCCGTTCGCAACTGTTGCCGAAGACGTTGCATTCTTTCTGTGTTGCTCTGCTCAAGAGCTAGGGGACACTTTCCTACCACATAGCTAACGTTACAGTAAGTGTATTGCAGTCAGCATCGTAACGTTTATACCACAGATTAATAGGTTACTAGCTTTGGTTTTACCCACAGGTGAATAGGAACTGTTACCGTATCTTTGGTTATGCTAACGTTAACTTAGCTAGCTACTGTAGCTATCATAGCTCGCAATAGAGTGTTCCATTTCATTATGTGGTCAGCTAACCTAGCGGTGCAAAGATGCACCATTGTCCATGTGTAAGTGTTAATATGCACCGAAAAACTACTGTCAGCCTCTGTGTTGTTCCTTTCATCTCCATTTATTGACAATTCAGTGTTTTCATCAGATCAATATACGTACTTTATTAACGTCATTATTGTTCACGTCATTAACGTGAGCAAAAAAAACTGCGACTAATGCATAGTGTCAGTTTTTTTTGGGGGGGGGGGGTCTCAAGTTTAGGACGTAAATGAAAGACCTGTTTTGATCAGATGAAAGGGGAGAAAAATGTACAGGCCCCAGCGAGATTTGAACTCGCGACCCCTGGTTTACAAGACCAGTGCTCTAACCCCTGAGCTATGGAGCCCTGTTCTGTTGAGGCTGAAGCGCAAACTATTTTTGAATATGGCCTGGACAGGCTTTCATTCAAGCTCTATAAATGTTCTGAAAATATTTTATGTTTGCTTGCAAAGGCCTAAATTGATCGCTTTGATTGTATTGTAAAAACATCTCTGTCAGTATTTTAAATCACCACGATAAAGACAAAAAAATATCCTGCATTCTGACTTGCAATGTGTTTTCAACTTCAACCACTAGATGGCGTCGAAGAACTGCATTTGTCAACAAGCCGTTCAGAAGTTGTTTGTAGCCAGTCATTTGTTGCGCTCAAGTGGATAATTAAGCAATAAGGCCCGAGGGGGTGTGGTATATGGCCAATATACCACAGCTAAGCGCTGTTCTTTAGCATGACACAACGCGGAGTGCCTGGATACAGCCCTTAGCTGTGGTATATTGGCCATATACCACAAACCCCAGAGGTGCCTTATTGCTATTATAAACTGGTTACCAACATAATTAGAGCTGTAAAAATACATCTTTTGTCATACCAGTGATACACAGTCTGATATACCACGGCTGTCAGCCAATCAGCATTCAGGGCTCGAACCACCCAGTTTATAACAGACCTTTTACCTCGGGCAGAACAAACCATTTATTTTTACTGCTCTAAAAAGGTTAGTAACCAGTTTATAATAGCAATAAGGCACCTTGGGGGTTTGTGCTATATGGCCAATATTCACAGCTAAGGGCAGTATCCAGGCACTCTGCATTGCGTCATGGGTAAGAATAGCCCTTAGCCATGATATATTGGCCATTTACCACACCCCCTCGGGCCTTATTGCTTATGTATAGACTACATACATATTCACAGTCCAGACCAGTATTTACTACTTTACTCGTGCTTTTGCACCGCAGTCTTTCAATGGGAAAACTTGGCTAAAACCTAAATCTATCTTCTCCAGTCACTCTCTGTAACCACTGCACTGACCATTGAATACAGAATGTGCACACACATAAATAATCCTTTAGTTGGCATAGCCTATAAAGCAACACTATGCACCTTAGTATTTTTGTGTTTGCTTATGCATTTACAATTTGGGATAACTTTAGGGCGGATCTGCACCAGTGGCGTACTACTTTGAGAGTTCAATGCACCTGACTGGCTTGCAAAGACAGCCTCCTATGGCTTTGGGCGTGGTATAGAATAGAACGGAGGTACCAGCCTCCCGAATGGGTCATATTCAATTTAGGGATACTGAGATGGATACGTATGGTTAGTCAGAGGACGTAAAATATGTCCAATATTTGCTTTGGAATACTGAAACCATTCCACCATGGAACTCGTATTCGATATCCGATAAATACGCGCAGGAATTGAATTGAATTGTATTTTATGGATTTATGAAAAGGCATATTTTTTGCATCACTAACCACTTGAGGATTGTAAATGAGAAACATGCGTGTGGAAGACGGACGGATTGTTAGTCTTGGTTTTGAACCCATTTCTAAAACCAAGCCTCCATCGCAAGGACGGTAAGTAACTGGTGAATAGGCCTATACTAGAGCAATGATTTATTCAATATCTCCCGTAGATAACCTGTTAAATGTGATTTTTCAAATACCAATAAAATGCTGCATTTGTTGTTTGCGTTTTGATTGTGTTTATAAGAAGGGACTAGTGTCTACATAGCCCGTGCGTAAAAATGCGTTCCAAATGTTCCAAGATCACAATACATCATCATCACTTCTATCGTAACCTAGTTGCCTTTCTCTGAACTTGGACAAGGCGAGGTTTATGCGTGAACATCGGACTGGCTTATTTTATGGATTTAAACAAGTGTCAACTGATTTACACAATAACTCAAAAGATAGGCTATAAAAAACCTATATAGATACCGGAACGTTTTCTTATTGAATGGTTTCTTTCTTGTGCTTAGCCTAGGTAGATGTGTACAGTAATTGAGAGGTGCCAATTCAATTGACACAATTGGTGTACTTGTAGCCTAATGTAGCCCATCCCACGGAGGGAAGATACATAGTTACAGTAATGACATGTAATAAACATGTTCAATAGGCCGACTGTACTGTTTCTAGGGAAAATGACGCGATGATTAGCCAATCATCACAAAGAGCTGAGTAATCGCCCCTAAACATGTTGTGCCAGGCTTCATCCAAAAATGCATGTATTGTATGAATGAAACTGTACACCCAATCCGTTCTCTCTGCGCAGCATATACCTGTCCAGCCTGTTTCAAAGATTTGTGAAAGGTCGCTCAGCGAGTCACGGGCATTGGTAGGTAGGTCTATTACGAGTGTGGTGTTGGATGTCACTTTGGAACAGTTCAACACGCTACTACGCCCCAACGACTGGAACGGAGCTCCGTCCTGTCTTCACTCCACAAGTGTAGCTTGGTCTCGCCACTTGCGCTCTGGCAAAGGGATTTATAAGATTCAGTCGGACACACTTGTTTCTTTACGCTAGAACGTGACTGAAAAGTAAGGCTGTCAACAACAATAACAAGAGCACTCTCCGTTTCTTTGCTTGTCCACGGTTAATGAAGGCATAACAACCGGGTAAAACAGAAGATTTCTCCGCGTTCGACCATGAAAGTGGCACGGATATTTGTGGCCAGATGCTGCGCTCCTTCACATTAGCACGCCGCCGGCTGACTAAATGTAAGATCCCTCTTTGTTAATTTAGGGAGACCTGTATTTGTGTGTAGATATAACCTAGCTACAAGCCCATATAACTTATACACTACGGGACTTAATGTAGGCTAGATTGAGCTGATGTTGGAATCAGTGATGAGACAGCGATCCTCGTTTCAATGAACAGCGATAGGCGACTTTGTAGCCAAATCAAAATTAACAAAGTCTAGCCTGGTTCCGGATGTAAACACAACGTCGCGCCTTCCTTTTTTCACCGAATCCCGACATGGTTGCTAACAAAGGGGCATTTTCTAACTTCTCTTTCCAGGGCCACCATGCTCCTTGCGTCCGCTGTGGTCGTGTGGGAATGGCTCAACGAACACGGGCGGTGGCGGCCCTACAGCCCGGCCGTCTCCCACCACATCGAGGCGGTGATACGAAGCGATCCCCGTGGTGGGAGCGTCGTGCTAGGCCAAGTCGACAACCGCCTCTCGCCCTACATCCTAGACCTGCAGTCGATGCACCAGTTCAGGCAGGACACAGGTAAGAAGACGAGAGGTGGGAATGGCTGTTGTTGTTGTTGTGGGGATGCTGTTGTCATGTCGTTAGGCTACTGGTGTTGTTGGTGTAAGAAGGCAGTTGGATGTATGTAGGTGCAGAACTTTTGTGAAACATCACAGCACAGTTGAAAATGTATGGCAAATTAAAAATCAAAACTGGATGGTCTTAAGAGATAGATGGGAAACCATGTGTTTGATGTGTTTGATACCATTCCACCTTATTCTGCTCCAGCCATTACCACGAGCCCATCCTCCCCAATTAAGGTGCCACCAACCTCCTGTGATGTCCAGTGAGTGTCTGTCTGTGTCTTAGTCGGTCTGGAATGGATACATTGTGACAGACAAAAGTCATATCAGAATTCTTAGTTCTACATAGGCCTTTTTGACATCTTAGGCCCAGTTGTCAGCATGTTCTGGTTTTTACTTCATGTTATTGCACAGCGTCATACAATTCTGTTTGTTTTGCATGTGGTTCAACTGATAGATAGTGACTGCTTTGCCACTGGAGTGGCGCTTAGGGCTCACAGGTTGGTTCCATTCCGTCATAGAATGAGAATTAAGAATGAATTACAATCAGTTCCATATTCCAAGAGCCTGGCTGGGTCCCTGACTTTAACCCTCCGCTTGCCTGTCAGACAGAATGGGGTGGAAGTGTGATGACCTAGAACAGCTGTACCTCACGGTGCCTTGGCCTCTCTTGCGAGAGACATTCTTCCCCCCCATACTCCCCGAATCTAACGCCCGCAGCTGCCGTGTGGAGACGGACAATTGGGTGGGATAAGCAGAGGGAGCGAGAAAGAAATGGCACCCTATAGTCAAAAGTAGTGCACTACATAGGGAATAGGGTGCCCTTTGTGACAGATCCAGAGCGTAAGGGGAAAGCAGAGAGAATGTGATATTTCAAGGCTTAATCAGCAGAGAATCTGAGAATCCGCCTTCGGCAGCCCCCCCCCCCGTAGAGTCTCAGCCACACTGTCTCCTAATGATTTCTTTAGTCTTGTCTTTAGTTTTGTCAATAGGCCAGATCTCTAGGGACTAGCGGCGTCAGAACCTCGGTACGTGGGAGAGATAGATGGAAGGAGGTATAGAAAGAGAGAGAGGGAGGGAGAGGGAAGCCCGTCTCTCTCTCTCTCTCTCTCTCTCTCTGTCTCTCTCTCTCTCTCTCTCTCTCTCTCTCTCTCTCTCTTTGTTGAAGTTGAGGGAACAGATGTTGGCTCCTCTATTGTGGAGTAGACG